GCTGTCTTTTGGCGGCGCGCGCGCGGGGGGCGTGGGGGGGCGGCTTCTTAGAAGCATCCCTGCTTCTTAGAAGGCGCGGGCCTTGTCTGCAAATGTAGGGCCGGCGCCTTCTAAGAAGCGGCCCCCTTTCTGAGAAGCCCCCCCCCCCCCCCTCCCCCTGCCCCACTCTGGGCGCCGCCAAGTTTTGTAGGTCTTCGCGCGTTGTCACGGGTTGTCCTGCAAAGCATAGGAATGCGTGAGCTTTTGACAGGGCGCCCATATGCGCTGCCAAAGTCGTTGCGAACCATATACTCTTGTAGTTGTGTAATACGTGGCAGGTGTGGTGCGCGCTCGGTGTCGGACTCCCTGATTGGAGTTGCGGCGATAGCAAAGGCGCGCGATAACGCACGCGAAGGAAACCGTTGCGTTGAGGAGGGAGGTCGCACAGGAGAAGCGTGACGTGTCTTGTAGAGGCTGCAGCAGAGGCGGCGCCTGGCTACGTGCGTCTCGCATGGCCTGTGCGGATGTCACCATCGGCGTGAAACCTGTCTGGCCGATGGTCTGGAGGCGTCTGGTGGAGCTCATTGTTGCTGACGCGCGTGGCAGGTGTAGATTCGTTGATCGAAACGCTGTGCTGTATCTGTTGGACGCTCTGATGAAGACCATGTAGTTCGACTTTGTATCGTGGGTCCGCTGAGAGTACCTGTCCAGCCTGCGCTCAAGGTCTCGGATTCGTTGGTTGTGTGCTCCGCGTTCTTGTTCCTAACGGGCTATGACTGAGTCGGCCCGTGCTTTTTCAGCGTCTCTTTCCTGGGAGATCTGGGTGAGTCGCAACTGCGCGCGGCCCGCCGCCTGCTGCACCTCGGCCGCGCGGGGCTTCGGGGGTGGAGGGGGGGGGGGGGGGGGGAGTCGGGGTGCCCAGCTGATCAGTCCGGGCCCGTGCAACGCGCAGATCAGCCAGCGCAGTCCTTAAATCGGGGATCTGCTGCTCGACCTGGGAGACTCGGTTCTCGAGCGTCGGCGCACGTCGCTCGAAAGCTTCAAGACGGTGAGCGAGGGCCATCTCGGCGCCACGCAGCTTACCATCGAATTACGACGTGAGTGTGGGGTGGGTGGAGTGCATGGTGGCACCCTTCCGTCCGATCTGAGTGCGAAGCGTATCCAAGTCCTCGCGCAACTGAGAGTCCATGGGTCCATTTACCTCCATAGGTGGGGTCTGTCGCATCACCAGGAGTTCATCATGTAGCGTCCTGAAAGCGGCAGCCCCCGCACCCCTGACGGTCACAAGTTGGGCCTCCATCCGTAAGAGGTAGTCGTGAAGCGACTGGATTGCCCTGGAGTCGGCGCCTCGGTGTGACTCCCTCTGGTCGACCTGGAATGGCACCTGGGAGATGGTCGATCGATCCTCGGCGATCCTGGCATCGACCAATGTAAGAGCTGGTTGCAGCACTTGTCCGACGGCGGCCGTCTGCGCGGCCAAACCCGATAGCTGTTGGGCCGTGCATGTGCCAACCTGGCCTCGGAGCCCTGCCAGAACACTGGCAGCGGGAGAATATGCGCAACAAGGCTGCGCTGCTGAGAGCCGTGCTGGGAGCATCGTTGTGAGGGGCTGCGGCCGGAATCTCGAGTAGGAAGACGAATGTGATGCCTCTCAAGAACCCGGCGCTGAGGCGCCCTCCCGGCGCAATTATCTATGACCCGCTCATGTTCAGAGACGGAGACATTGGCGGGCGACGGAGCCTTGGCCCGGCGGCGGCTGCGCGCGAAAGCGATGTCAGGGGGCGCGTTCGCGGTGCGATGGCCGCCGCGGGCGCCGCCGCCGACGCCGCTCGTGTCAGCGAAGGTGGGTGGGGAGTGGGCAGGCGCAGTGAAGCCAGCGTCGGCTTCGACGACGCAGGGGCAACTGCGGGCGCGGCCACCGACGGGCGAAACACGGATGCATCAGGCGCTGCGGTAGGCGAATCCAGCTGTCGTCGCGAGGGGCGAGGCGTGCGCGCGCGCGCGGGCGGCTGAAGCATCGGCGAATCGGGTGAGAGTTCGCCGAGCGCAGCAGCGAGAGACGCAGCGCTGCCCCCCCCTGAAAGGGGGAAATAGGCATCGAAGATTCTCTTGCCCTCTCCATAGTGCCGTCGCGAGAGCGCGCCGCCGAGGACATCGCGCGCTTGCAGGCGGCGCAGCGGAGTTGCAGCGCCAAGCGGCATAATCCAAGATGACGCGAATTGCAACAACAAAAAGCGGACTTCACGCACAGCCGCGGCGCTCGCCGAACAGCCTCCAACTTCTCCCCGACATCCGCAACCGCTTGCTCCAGACACAGCCGAACCTGATCGGAGCTGGAGAGCCGCATATCCTGCGGGATACCGGAATGCCCCTCGAACCACGCCAACACACTCCTAAGCATCTGCTCGTTCACGTAGCCGATCACGTCCACGACGTCGCGGGGCTATGATCGGGCCCTACGCCACTGCAGCCAACGAACAAAGTTCTCCCAGCGCCCAACGCACACGCGAAGCGTGCTTGACCTGGCCCCGCCAAAAGACCTTGCAAAGCCTCCTGCGGATCGTTGGCCCTGCGACCCTCCGCCACCGCCGGCACCTCCGCGAGTTCCAAGCGGGCCGCGGCGCAACGTGCCCTCTTCTTGGTATCCTGCTCGAGGTTGCTCGAAACGTTCCGGCCGTGAGACCAGGTACACGGCGCCTTGAGCATCGCGCGGGTCAGGCCGCTCGCTCTCCTCCTTGCAGTCCTTTTCTTTCCCTTCTCCTCATCCTTCTTCCGCGACTTCGCAACCAAATCGGCGGCGTACAACGCGTCGCCCAAACGCTTGCACGAGATCGGGTCCCGCGCTTGCTCCTCCCAGTAGAATGCTGCGCTCCAGCCCACCCCTTGAACCGAGACAGCAATGTCATGAATACACTGCCGCACTGCGCTGCGCTCTGTGCGAACGTGATCGGGATGGGGATGGAGATCGGTTGAACGATACTGAGGGAGGGCGGCCGCGAGGGAAAACGCTACGAACGGAACGAGGAGAAAAAGTACCCCAGTGCGACCCGACCTCGGAGTTGGAGCATTTAGGAAAGCAACATCTACATCTACACCGACAGCTACATTTACATCTACACCTGCATCTACATCTATGACGACACCAACAGCGAGACTCACATCTACATATACACCTGCATCTACACCTACATATACATCGACATCTACACCTACACCTACATCCACATTTACACCTACACCTACACCTACATCTACACTTTCGCATTGGTTTTGCTTTTGCTTTGCATTGCCTGTGCGTTTGCTCTTGCCTTTGTTTTTGCCTTTGCCTTTGCGTTTTATGTTGATGTTGCCGTTGTGTTTGCTTTGATTTTGTTTTTGATGTTGCTTGATTTGGTGTTTGCTTTGCCTGCGCACAGACACACACGCGCATGTTGTCACATTCGCTCACCGGGTGTGCTTGACAATGCTCCGTACCCGGTCTACACCGCACGACTTGGCATTGAGCAAGGTTGTGCAAGACTTGCTACATCGAACGTTCTTACGAAATTGTACAGCAGCAGCAACTCCCAGATCGGTGCATCATCGGCGCTGGAATATGCTATGCTATGCTATGCTATGCTTTGCTATGATTTGCGATGCTGCGTTATGCTATGATATGCTCTGCTAGGGTACGCTCGGCTGCGCTGTGTCATGCTCTGCGATGATATGCTCTGCTATGCCACGCTATGTTATGATATGTTATGATATGCTGCGCTATGCTATGCTATGGCATGGTATGCTACGTTATGCTATGCTATGCTATACTAGGCTATGATATGTTATGCTGCGTTGTGCTATGCTATGATATGGTATGGTATGATGTGCTGTGCTATACTATGCGAGCTCATGCTGTGCTATGCTATGATATACTGCGCTGTGCTATGCTAAGCAATTCTATGCTATGCTATGATATGCTGCGCTATGCTAGGTTTGGCTATGTTATGATATGCTGAGCTATGCTATGCTATGCTTGGCTATGCTTGGCTGTACTATGCTGCGCTAGTGCTGCGCTGCGCTATGCTGCGCTGCGCTGCGCTAAGCTAAGCTAAGCTATGACATGCTAAGCTAAGCTAGGCTAGGCTAAGCTAGGCTAAGCGAAGCTAAGTCAAGCGAAATTACGCTAAGCTAAACTAAGCTAAGCCAAGCTAAACTAAGCTTAGCTAGGATGGGATAGACTAAGCTAAGCTAAGCTAAGCTATGCTATGCTAAGCTAAGCTAAGCTAGGCTAGGCAAAGCTAAGCAAAGCTGAGCTTAGCTTAGCTTAGCTAAGCTGTGTGAACCCAGGGGGGCGCGACTGGGGGAACCGCGGGGCGGATACTGGGGGAACCGCCCAGGGCGAGCCCCACTGCCCGGCCCTGTTAAGCTAACAGAGTAAGAACCCTTCTAACAGAGAAACGCTACGAACGGAATGCGGAGAAAAAACAACAACTCCGAAGCGAGAGGCAGCATGGGGTAGAGGAGGGTCCGTGCCAGGAGGATCGGGAGGGGGTGGACGAGGAGGGGGCGGGGGAGGAGGGAGAGGAGATATCTCGGCCATTACTTGATAGGGGGGTGATGAATGGGGGGGCGAAGAGACGTGCGTCTTTCGTGCCGGTTTGGGCCCCAGGAGGCCCCTTTGAGGCTCCTGAGGTGCACCAAGGGTGCACCTTTCTTCACCCCTCACTCATCGTTCCCCCATGGCGCAACGCCCGAGCAGCGCATCGCGAAGGGTGCTGGGCGCGGCGCGGCAGGTTCGCGCAGCCCTCGGCCAACGAATTCGGGGCGCACGGCTACGCGCGCTCGGCCGGGGGCAGAAGGAGGCAGAAGGACAGAGCGGGGACGGGCACGAGGAGGTGGAGGAGATGGAGGAGGGGAGGGGGGGGGGGCAGGAGGAGGGGGAGAAGAAGCAAGAACCAGGACAAGGGCGAGGTGGAGGAGAAGAGGAGAAGGAGGGGAGAGGAGAGGAGAGACGAGACGAGAATAGAGAGGCCCAGCTGGGCGTCCTTGTGGATCGTGAGGTTGATCCCCGTGTCGGTCGCAGACCACTCGCAGCCCTGGCGCAAGCTGGCGGGCGACGGGGAGAGAGGCCTGGACTCTGGACTGGTGGGCCGGCTGACAGGCGCAAGGGACGACCCTCCCCTGCCTTCCGCGAGGCCTATGCCGCCCACTCTCTTCCCTGAACTCTACGAGCTTCCCTCTCCACCTCCTCCTCCTCCTCCTTCTCCTCCTCCTCCTCCTCCTCCTCCTCCTCTTCTTCTTCTTCTTCTTCTTCTGCTTCTTCTGCTTCTTCTGCTTATTCTGCTTCTTCTGCTTCTTCTTCTTCTTCTTCTTCTTCTTCGTCTTCTTCGTCTTCGTCTTCTTCTTCTTCTTCTTCTTCTTCTTATTCTGCTTCTGCTTCTGCTTCTGCTTCTGCTTCTGCTTCTGCTTCTTATTCTTTTTCTTCTTCTTCTTCTTCTTCGTCTTCTTCTTCTTCTTCTTCTTCGTCTTCTTCGTCTTCTTCTGCTTCTTCTGCTTCTTCTGCTTCTTCTGCTTCTTCTGCTTCTTCTGCTTCTTCTGCTTCTTCTGCTTCTGCTTCTGCTTCTGCTTCTGCTTCTGCTTCTGCTTCTGCTTCTGCTTCTGCTTCTGCTTCTGCTTCTGCTTCTGCTTCTGCTTCTGCTTCTGCTTCTTCTTCTTTTTCCTCTTCCTCTTCCTCCTCCTCCTCCTCCTCCTCCTCCTCCCTCCTCCTCCTCCTCCTCCTCCTCCTCCTCCTCCTCCTCCTCCTCCTCCTCCTCCTCCTCTATTCACCACTCGTTCCCTCCATTCCCTCAGGTTCCTTCCCTTTCTGGTTGCGTCCTTTGCGGGCTTCCAATCCAGTATGTTTCGACTCGTACCACCACCATCCCTCCTTCCACCCTCCCCTCCCTCCTGTGTTATTCCTCGACTCCCCTCCCCTCCCCTCCCACTCGTACCTGCCCATACCCTCCCCTCTCAGCGTATCTTGTCCCCCCACCCATCCCCTTTCATTTCTCCCCGCCCTCTCTTCTGCTTCCCCCCACACCACCTCCTGCCGTTCGCGGCGGCACAGGGTGAACCCTTGCCCTTGTCCATTGCAAAACCTCTGCGGAGTTTATCCGCGATCCGCTCTCCTGCTTCTTCCTCTTCTTCTCCATCTCGTCCACCAAATCCACCAGCCCGTCTGCATTATCATCACCTTTTCCGCTTGATTTTCCTTTTCACCCTGCCACTCATCACCATTAATTATCCTCCTCCACCTCGTTCCCCGTCCACGTCCTCCTTCAGTCCCTCCTACTCCTCCCTCCTTCATGTCCTTCCTCCTCCATCATCACTCTCCTCCTCCACATCCTGGCACCACATACTGCCACCTCCACCTCCACGTCCTCCTCCGAGCTCACTCCCTCCCTCCCTCCACCTCCCCCGTCACTATCATCATCCTTCCCCACCGTCTTCCAGCAGGCGTCAACGCGGCAACACGCGCCTACCCACAACTGTCAACCAGTAGCTGCGGGACGATGTGGCAGCTGGAAACGGGCACCAGCCCAGACATGATACGCCGACTCCTCCCATGGCGACAGAAAATCGTAATCCTTGCGCACCTTGGCGGTGTGCCAGCGCAACAGCCTCAAGTACCAGACACCGGCCCCGCAAGAGCCGCCTCTTCCTCCTTCTCCTCCTCTCCCTCCTCCATTTTCTGATATTGCGCGAACTCGAGCCGATGTGCTGCAGCGTTCTTCCTCCCCCTCCTCCTTCTCCTCCTTCCCCCACCTCTCTCCCCCTCCCCCTGCCGCACCCTCCTCTTTCAGCACCCTCCGCCGCCCATGCATTGGCGACGCGGCACGACCCTCCGATTCCATCTACTTCGACCGCATCCTGGAAACCGGTAGCGCAGGAACCTTGTCCCCCACCCCAACCTGGGCCCCGGATCCGGCCTCAGTCAGATGCGGACAAAACACCGGCCGCCTAGGTTTTGTGCCGTCCCCCAGATCTGACGCTGCAAGAACATTGCAGCATCGCGATCAATTCCTACCGAGCCCTTATAGACCCCATTGTTCTGCTGCATTCTTCGAGCTGGATCGATCTGTGAGGGTCCCAGGACCCAAAACCGGAAGGAAACGCCAGTTGGGGAAAAAATGCAACGCCAGGATCCCAGGGGTGCGTCCGACGTCCGGGGCCAGGGCAGCAGGGCGTGGCGGCCTTGTTGGACTTGAGCTTGTCGGCCTTCGGGGCCTCCCTCCACTCCGCCTCGCTGGGGCGTCGCCGCACGGGGTCGCGGCGGCTCATGGGCCGCCCGGGTGCCACCGAGTGCGGCGGCACGAGGACAGTGACAATGATGATGCTGCTGCTGATGATGATGCTGCTGCTGATGCTGATGTTGATGCTGATGCTGATGCTGCTGCTGCTGTTGATGCTGATGATGCTGATGATGATGCTGATGATGATGATGTTGATGCTGACGCTGACGCTGCTGCTGCTGATGCTTATGTGGATGCTGCTGCTGCTGCTGAAGGTGATTCTTATTTTGGCAGCAGACCAACGACGATGACCCGGGATAATTGATATGCTGCAGGATCAGAAGAAGATGGCTGCAACACATGCAACCAACATATATGAGATCACTCGCTTTGCCCTGATGGGACAAAGGACTGTTCGAAGTCGGAAACCACACATGACGGAGACTACTGTTGCATGCTCTCCTGGCCTCTATCGATTATTTGGTCGTACTGCTAATATTGTTGGCTACCGCTCTTTCCCTCTTCTCTGTGACCACGTTCAGCCCCTGCAGAACTCACGGATTACAGGATTGGAACGCTGGGCTGATAAGGAGTTAATGTTGAGGTGAAGGCAAGGCTTCGGGCGAGACTTCAGAGGAGCAAGGAACTCTGGAGGCCACTACACCAGCGTATCTCGATTGGCACTCTTCTGTGCTTTTCTGGGGAGCCCTGCACGTCTGAGGAGGAGGCGGGGGAGGAGCTTGCGAAGCACTGGGAGGTTGTCTTTGGGGGGCACGTTCGCGACGAAGCTGACTGGCCCACCCTCGAGTCGTTCGTTGTTCCTATTTCTGGGGGTGACCTTGCCCACTCGCAGATGGATTTCGAAGAGTTCGAGGTGATGGTTCGGGAGCGCACCGACACGGTGTCAGGGCCTGACGGGATTTCGTACTCGTGTTGGAAGTCTCAGACCCCGATGGAAACGCTGTACGACGTGTACTGTCATGTTATGGATTATGGCGGTTCTGAATTACCCGTCTCTATGCGTGAGATGATGCTGGTCTTTCTACACAAAGCTGCCGGTCCGTCCGATCGTTCTGCTTCTCCCACTCGCTCTCCACTGGCATGCCGTCCTTCTGCTACCCTCCCCCCCTTGGGCCCCCCCTGCTGGAAGCTACCCCCCCCCTTGTTAGTCCCCCCGGAAGCTGCCCCCCCCCCTTTTGCCGCTCCGGAAGCTCCCCCTCCCCCTCCCCCCCTTTCCAACGGCGGGGATGGGGGGGGCTAAGCTACCTCCCCCTTGGACTCCCCCTGCTGGAAGCTACCCCCCCCTCCCCCCCTTTTTGGTCCCACCCCCGGAAGCCTCCCCCCCTCACCCCCTTTTGCCGCTCCGGAAACTGCCCCCCCCTCCCCCCCCCTGCTGGAACCCCCCCCTCCCTTGAACTCCCCCTGCACGACGATCCTCCCCCGTCGCCGTCGTCGTTGCCGTCGTCGTCGCTCGACGTCTTCGTACAACGCCGTCGTCGTCCTCGTCGTCGTTGTCGCCGCCGTCGCCGATATTGTCGCCGTCTTCGCATGACCTCGTCGTGGCCGTCACGACGAGGACGAGGTCATGCGAAAACGGCGACTTACGACGGACGACGGACGACGCGCGGACCCACGACGGACGACGACGACGACCTAGGGTCAGAGAAAACGAGACCACGACCCAGGGGCTGAGAAAACGAGGCCACGACCCAGGGCCAGAGAAAACGAGCCCACGGCGCAGGGGCCGAGAAAACGAGAAAACGAACCGGAGTCAAGAGAAAACGAGACCACGACCCATGGGCCGGGAAAGCGTGAAAACGAACCAGGTCCGATAAAACGAGACCACGACCCAGGGGCCGACGAAACGAGACAACGAGAAAACAAACCAGTGACCGAGAAACAAAAAAAACGAGCCAACTAGAAAACGAACCAGGGCCCGAGAAAGCGAGAACACAACCTAAAGGCAGAGAAAACGAGAAAAACGAGAAAACGAATCAGGGCCCGAGAAAACGAAACAAAAACCCAGAAGCCAAGAAGACGAGAAAACGGGACAATGAACCAGGGTCCGAGAAAACACGATAACGACCCAGGGGCCGATAACACGAGAAAGCGATACAACAAAACAAATTCCGAGCAAACGAGACCACGACCCAGGCCGAGAAAACGCGAATATCGGTCCTAGAAAAACGAGACCACGACCCAGGGGCCGAGAAAACGAGGAAACGATCAGGGCCCGAGCAAACGAGAATACGAACCAGGAGCCGAGAAAACGAGGCAACGAGAAAACAAACCAGCGTCCGAGAAAACGAAACCACGACCCAGGGTCCGAGAGAACAAGAAAGCAAGAAAACTAACCAGGGTCCGAGAAAACAAGACCACGACCCAGGCGCCGAGAAAACGAGAAACAAGAACACGAACCAGGGCCAGAGAAAACGAGACCACGACCCAGGGGCAGAGAAAACGAGAAAACGAACCAGGGTCAGAAAAAAACGAGACCACAACCCAGGGGCAGAGAAATCGAGAAAACAAGAAAACGAACCATGGCCCGAGAAAACCAGGCCACAACCCAGGGGCAGAGAAAACGAGGAAACGAAACAGGGCCCGAGAAAACTGGACCACGACCCAGGAGCCGAGAAAACAAGAAAACGAGAAAACGAAACGGGGTCCGAGAAAACGAGACCACGACCAAGGGGCAGAGAGAATGCGAAAAGGATAAAGCAAACTAGGGCCCGATAAAACTGGACCACGTACCAGGGGCCGAGAAAACGAGGCAACGAGAAAACAAACCAAAGTCCGAGAAAACCAGAAAACGAACCAGGAGACGATAAAACAAGAAAACAAGACAACGAAGCAGGGTCCGAGAAAACTGGACCACGACCCAGGGGCCGAGAAAACAAGAACACAAAACAACGAACCAGGGGCCGAGAAAACAAGACAGAAACCCAAGGGCCGAGAAAACGAGAAAACGAGCCGGGGCCCGAGAAAACGAGACCACGACCCAGGGGCCGAGAAAACGAGGAAACGAGACAACGAACTGGGGCCCGACAAAACGAGACCACGACCCAGGGGCCGAGAAAACGAGAAAACGAACCAGGGTCAGAGAAAACAAAACCACAGTCCAGGGGCCGAGAAACGGAGAACACGAGAACGAGAAACCGAACCAGAGTCCGAGAACACGGGACCACGATCCAGGGGCCGAGAACACAAAAAAGGAACCAGGGTCAGAGAAAACGAGACCACGACCCAGGGGCCGAGAACACGAGAAACCTAACAAGGGTCCGAAGAAAAATGTCACCACGACCCAGGGGCCGAGAAAACAAGAAAACGAGATCACGAACCAGGGCCCAAACAATCAGCACACAAAAAACCGAGAAAACGAGACGACAAACCAATGAACAAGGGTCCGAGAAAACGAGAAAACAAACCAAAGTCCGAGCGAACGAGACCACGACCCAGGGGCACAGAACACGCTAAAACGAACCAGCGTCCGAGAAAACAAGACCACGACCCTGGGGCCGAGAAAACGAGAAAACGATAAAAATAACCAGGGTCAGAGGAAACGAGACCACGACCCAAGGGCCGAGAAAACAAAAAACGAGAAAACGAACCGGAACAGAGAGAACGAGACCACGACCCAGTGGCCTAGAAAACAAAAAAAACGAGAAAACAAACCAGGCCCTGAGAAACGAGACCACGACCCAGGAGCCGAGGACATGAGAAAACGCGAGAACGACCCACGACCCAGGGGCCGAGAAAACGAGGAAACGAACCAGGGTTCGAGGAAACCACGACCCCGGCGCCGAGATCATTAGAAAACGCTTGGTTGGAGAAACAACACCACGACCCAGGAGCCGAGAAAACGAAGAAACGAGAAAACGAAGCACGGTCGAAGAAAACGAGACCACCACCCGGGGTCCGAGACAACGAGAAAACGAGAATACAAACCAGCGTCCGAGAAAAAAAACAACCACGACCCAGGGGCCGAGAAAACGAGAAAACGAAACAGGGTCCGAGAAAACTGAGCCACGACCCAGGCGCCGAGAAAACGAGAAAACGAGAACGCGAACCAGGGTCAGAGAAAACGAGACCGCGACCCAGGAGTCGAAACCACGAGAAAACCAGAAAACGAACCAGGGGCCGAGAAAATTAGGAAAAGATGCAAGGAATCAGGGCCCGAGAGAACGAGACTACGAACCAGGGGCCGAGAAAGCAAGAAAACAAGAAAACGAACCAGGGGTCGACGTTATTCTCCAATTCGTTCTCTAGCGCTGCGGTGCGCACCTGTCGCCAGGGATCCCGCCATTTTGCCAGAGCCCCGGAAGGGAGGGGGGGGGAGGTAGCTTCGAAGCCCCCCCCCCCCTTTGCTTTCCTCAGGGGGGGGTAGCTTGAAGCCGCCCCCCCTGTGTCCAGACCGGAAAAGGGAAGGAGGGGGGGGGCTTCCGACGCCCCCCCCCCCTTTGAAAAGGAAGCCCAGGCTCACCTTCTGCTCCGGAAAAGGGAGGGAGGGGGGGATAGCTTCGAAGCCCCCCCCTTTAGCCAGGGCCCCCCTAGCTTAATTGTCCCGACAAAGCAACCTAACAGCGATGTGTAGGAGCATATCTGGAAGCATTCCCCTTAAGATTCAGATGAGAATCCACTTGTAGAATTCTGCTGTTCTCGCAGTCGTAGTCGCATTCGCGATGACAGTCGCAGTGGCAACGGCAGTCGCAGTCACAGCCTCAGCCTCAGCCTGCCTCAGCCTCAGCCTCAGCCTGCCTCAGCCTCAGCCTGCCTCAGCCTCAGCCTCAGCCTGCTTCAGCCTCAGCATCAGTCTGCCTTCAGCCTCGGCCTCAGCCTCAGCCTGCATCAGCCTCACCCTGCATCAGCCTCAGCCTCAGCCTCAGCCTGCATCTCAGCCTCAGCCTGCTTCAGCCTCAGCCTCAGTCTGCCTGCAACCTCGGCCTCAGCCTCAGCCTGCCTCAGCCTGAGCCTGCCTCAGCCTCAGCCTCAGCCTCAGCCTGCCTCAGCCTC